CCTCCTGTCCTGGTACAGTAGCAGTGCAGTGGTGCTACACGATCCTCTCAGCAGCCACGTTCCCGAGGGCCGCGGGGCACGTGTGTCGGCACAGCCACCTGCTGCACCCGCCCTGGCTTTGAGTGTGGCTTTGAACACAGATTGTTGTGCTGAACAAAACGTGATGTGATGCACTTTCCCACTGAGTTTCAGCCTGTCCTTCCTCAAGAGTAATTGATGACTCTCAGTGCACAGAGAGCTGTGGTCCAGTACTAGCTCCAAAGTAGCTTACTCACGGTCGCTGGGGTTTTAATTTTAATGCCGTTGCTTTAAGCCTGTTAAATTATCTTCAATGTGCAGCAGATCAGCTTGCAGGCTGTGTGTTTAACAATTACTCACTTTTGGTATGTTTTGCTCCACCAGTTCAAAGTGAATTTTGTATTTTCTTGGCACACAGGTTTTTTGGCTCAGATAACTATCAAATGCTAACGCTTTGGATTGGACTTTGACTTTGATGGTGACTGCCATGACAAGCACATGCAAGACATACTAATAGAGCACCTGAAATATTTTCAAAGGCAGTAATCTTTGTGTCTTGCAGAAAGTAGAATGGCATCCTGTGACAATAGGTTTGTTTTCTTTATTTTCTCGTGTATCTGTTGCCATGCCTAAATATTGCGAGGCTACTTGTGCTGTAAGAGCATTTCCTCTTTTAAAATTATTTAGAAGGTGTGAGAACCACTGTTTACTTTTATCTAGAGAGGTTAGGATGCTGTATGTTATTTTTCTTTCATTTTTCTTTTTGCATCAAAAGACTGCGTTTAATTGCTTTTTGGCACATATCCTCCAATTGAAAATGCTACTGCAGATATCATTTGTGTTACTTTTCTACTTTTTCTACTACAGTAGTATTAAGATTCAGTATTTAGGATCTCCTTGTGTGTTTAAATATTTGGCTTAAAAAGAAAATAAGACTGCCTACTTTTCTTGAACTCAGATTTGCTTATCTTCCTTCACCTGGACTGATAGAACGAAGACAGATATGTTTAATTTAGACTCTATTCTGCTGCTAGCTCACAATGAAACAGAAAATTTGGCTTAATATAAGTAAGTATTAATAACTTTTTATTAAAAAGGTGGATTATAAGACGAGAAATTGAAATATGAACCTTTGAGTAAATTATTTTAAGTCCAGTCCTCTCACATTATCTATGCAAACTTCCTCCAGAAATGCAACACTCTACTATGCATTAAAAATATAAGCATTAAATAAACAAACGCTTAAAAGCAGAATAATTGTTAGTAATTCTATGTAATTACTTTCTCCCTGGGTTAATATTTAATTACCACACAGTTAAGATATCTGGGAAAGCCTAGTTTAGATCAGCTTTGTTATTTCTATACTACAGCACAAGAGATGTGAATAATTGGAGTAATATTTTATTGATCTCAAACAATACTTCTTTCAGCAATTAAAATGCATGATGAGTCATATGAACAAGGTGAAAATAAAGCACAACCAAAAAAAAAATAACTTCACATTTTTTTCCATTTCATTCTTAGTGTAAGCAATAAATACAAGGCTATAGCTTTTATTAATCTTATTTACATAGTACAATATGTGAGTGGTGTCTGGTTTCCAGCCCAAATGTTTCTTGACATGAAAAGGAGTACATGTTGCAGCATTTCTACAGCCAAATAGTCGAGTAGATCATCACCATGAAAAAACTACACAGCATAAATGCTACCATTAAACAAACAACTGAGGGAATCCTGCAGTGGAGCATTTTATTAATTGAAGACAGTAGCATAAAAAATAGACATTTTCTCTCATAGAATCCTAACATGCTGGTGTTACAGATAACAAATATAAGACAACTATTTCTGTAGCCCCTGGAGATTGATACAATAAATCCTCGCTAAATTAAAAAAGAAAAAAAAAAAGAAAGAGCAAATAATAACAGGTAACTATTTGCATGTTCAGAGGAATCTCACAGCCCCACCAAAACCATCCCAGAGAATGCAGATAAAGACTTACAACCTTCTGCAAAGTAGAAGATTAGCCATGAGAAATCAGCATAAGGATTTGATTTTAATTTATGGCGACAGGAAAACATATTAAGAAGCAGGTGCTTCTCTCAGTTATGTAGAAAGCGAAAAAGGTGAGGTAGGAAGACAAAATAAGGAATTGGTATTTTCCAATGCAAATTAGAAAATAGGGTATCTAACTTCATGAGGAGAGGGGAAAGAGAGCTCTCCACAGCCACAAACATTTTCTTGCACATCCAGCTGGATGTATGTTTTTTTTCCAAAGTGAAGACAGATGTGTGCCTAGAAGCATGCTGTGAGTGTCCACCTACAAGGAGGATAATTTCTGTAGAAAAAACAATTTTTTTCCCCCAAATTACCACTACAGGTTTCTCTAATAGAGGACAGAGAGCAAACAGCAATTAGTATTTATTTGGTGTTAAATGATAAAATTCTATAGGCTATGAAATTTTAACTGCCTAGCTGAGAAGCTAAATTAAAGTCTAATATTGTGTCACACTTTAAACCATCACTTATGTTTTAATGACAACAACCCACCAGGTACCATGAAATAATTGTCTAATAATAAGCCATCAGGGACTTAAAGCACTTTAAAATGGACAGATACCTGCCTGGGCTTTGATTCTCAGCTGGTACCAGTTGGTTCTGCAAATGGAACTCAAGACATATTTGTACCAGTTGATGATCTGGTCCCACAAGTGTAAAGCTGCTACGCCAGAGCAGGGATTTTCTGCATCTCTAATATTTTCAGAACATTGCACCAATTTTAAGTAACACTACATAGATCAGCAAGCAGAGCTGTAAGCGGCCTCTAATCCTATAGTAGCAGATATCCTTACTGTATTCTCACAGTTTTAGAGACTGTGACATCTGGTTGCCAGATTTCACACTGCTCTACAGTACAGAATCCAACAGATTTTCCAAATCGTTCCCGTCAGCCAACCAGGCAGCCTTGCAGAAGAAGAGAAAGGATTTGTGCATCCTAGCCGAGATTCTATATTGTGAAACTAAATCATTCATAAAACACTTTCTAAATTCAAACTCCAGATGTAAGAACTGTAAAAAACAATATGGAAAGGTGCAAGTGGCGTGAACTTCCCACATTCTCCTAATGTTTTCCTTCTAAGTACAAAATATTTAAAGCCTTATAAAGTCACAAATTAATAAACACTGTGACATGAAGTTACCTAGATGCTAGTGAAGCTTACAGAAAAGCTACTGGCAGAAATGTTTAAATGTTAGAGTCAAGGTGTTCATATACAAAATTAAGTATTTAAAACTGAAATGGTCTCAGGAAGAACTGTCTTGATTTTTGGACTGGTTTACATGCACCAGATATACATTAATTAGCATAATAGTCTGTCTGTTCCAGCATCTACTTTTTCTTCCACTTCATTTTGTTTTTTACCCACTTAAAGTAGACTTATCTGCAAATTAAATGTATAAAAATTTTTCTTACATTTTTAATTTTCAGTAGGACTTTTCTGAACTCTCCTCATTTCATGCCCTCATTCTTGAGAGCATTTTTGTCATTTCACTTCACAAAACTGCAATTTCTTTAAAGCATAAAGATTTAACAAAAACATAGATTTCTATAAAGACACATTTCCTCAAGACCATCCTGACAACCTCCTCGGTTTCAGTGAGACCTTTATGCACCAGTAGAACCAAAGAAACAACATATAAAGTACTGTTCTAAGCTGAGTAACTGAGACAGATTCAGAATCAAGCGATCCAAAATATTATTAAAAGTCTCAATCCATAATGTTTGGACTCTTTATAAAACAAACTTTATATTGGATTTTCCAAATAATGACAATTACTAACAGTAGTTTGCTTGATTAGTCTGAACCTCATACGCTGGCTTTAAAGGTAGTATGTCATGTGCACTGTGTTCAGTCTTGCATGCTTCTCTGAGACAACAAAAAAAAAGCCACAAAATTAATCAAAACCTTGCCCAAGAATGAAGGAATAAGTTATCAAGCATATGGCCAGGGAAATACTTAAAAATAAAATGAGAACAATGCTACAACAAGTCCTGTACATGATCTTCTCCGGGTTGAGTGAATTCCTTCAGCACACAGTGAAGTTCCATCAGCTGCAATTACGTGTTAGTGTCTGGAAGGGTTTGCAGTTATTCAGGTTACTCCTTTTCTTTTTGGCAGTGAGGCCTCATCAATCTTGCCTGTGTTAAAGCCAGGAAGAAACTTCCATACGCTTCAGGAGAAGGAAGCATTTCTGAATGTGCCAAAATAGCTTAAATAAAATTGCTCAAAGCTTGCTGCAAGATATTACCTTGCAGCACGTAGAGACTCAGACTTGAACTGGTGTCTCTATGCTTGATGTAAAATAGTGGGAAAAAACCCGAACTGGCCAAACCAAACTGTCAATATCTTTAACCAAACCAGCAATATCTGTTTCCTCAGACTACCTGTTGGGCTTTTTTTGACAGCCAGATAAATGCTGGACAGAAAAAATAACCTGGATAACCTATTGTTATTATTGCACCTACTTTAACTATTTTGTTTTGTCCTATTTTAGGTTGAATTAAGACAACAGAGTCTGGTATTTACACTCTAAGATTCTATAGGCAAATGAAGTGGCTTCAACACAGCACAATCTTACAACAAACTCCCAAGAAAATAAGAAATCCTTCATTGATTCCCTTTGTACAAAAAAATTGCCAACTTTGTCTACACAGTAGAAACTGAAGAGGCAAAGTTTGTAACCTTATATAAATGCACATACATATATAGATATATATGTACAGATGTCCATACTCAATACACAGAAACACAAACGAATGTATATATGCATATATATATATATATATATATATATATATATATATATATAAGTATACATAAGAACGAAAAATGCGCCGGTTTAGTTCGCGTCAGTCAGGGAAAGAACATCATCCCATGTTAGGTAAAAAAATCTTCTGGCCATGAAGTCACTGGATCCAACTGGGAGTTCAGCCATAGAGCTTCTCAGTCTTTAAAACCACGCTCTCCATGTCGTGGTAGCCCTTCCCGTTGAGGTGCTCGCTGGTGCAGTCGTGGTTGTAGCTGTAGCCCGGCACGTCGCTGATGGTGGACACGGTGTAGGACGCTGTGCGCATGGCATCCGAGTGGCTGAAGCTGTGCTCGAACTGGATTCGGTACTGGTTCCAGTGTCTCCTCAAAACAGCCTGGACCTGTGGCAGAAGGCGAGAAGAATCATAGAATCATAGAATCAGCTGGGTTGGAAGGGACCTCTGAGATCATCAAGTCTAACCCTTGATCCACTACCACTGCAGTTGCTAGACCATGGCACTAAGTGCCACATCCAGTCTCATCTTAAAAACCTCCAGGGACGGAGAATCCACCACTTCCCTGGACAGCCCATTCCAATGCCTGATTACCCTCTCCTGGGAAAAGAGACCAACCCCCACCTGGCTACAACCTCCTGTCAGGGAGTTGTAGAGAGTGAGGAGGTCTCCCCTGAGCCTCCTCTTCTCCAAGCTGAACAGCCCCAGCTCCCTCAGCCTCTCCTCATAGGACTTGTGCTCAAGTCCCTTCCCCAGCCTTGTTGCTCTTCTCTGGACCTGCTCCAGGACCTCCATGTCCTTCCTGAACTGAGGGGCCCAGAACTGGACACAGCACTCCAGGGGTGGCCTCACCAGCGCTGAGTCCAGGGGAAGAATCACTTCCTTGGACCTGTTGGCCACACTGTTCCTGATCCAGGTCAGGATCCATTGGCCTTCTTGGCCACCTGGGCACACACTGGCTCATGTTCAGCTTCCTGTCAATCCAAACTCCCAGGTCCCTTCCTGCCTGGCTGCTCTCCAGCCACTCTGTCCCCAGCCTGCAGCGCTGCAGGGGGTTGTTGTGGCCAAAGAGATTCATGTAAACTGGGCTTCGTTCTGTGCTATGTGAGGGCTGTGATAAAGGTGTCTCATGGGATTAGATGGCACTGCTCGGTAATACCCACACGTCACTTGTCGCTTGAGGGGCAATATAAGTAATGTTGCCACAGGGTTTTTTTGATTTTTTGTGGTTTTTTTTTCAATTTTTATAGGTTTTAGAAGTAGTTATGTAGTGAATGTAACTGGTCTACTCTGGCCTCCAATCGGGAGGTCTGGAGACACACCACCTATAACGCTGCTGATGCTTTTGAGAACGCACACAGGATCACTCTTGAGGAGAAAAGGCAACGCAGAAAGCCTCATGCCTTGCAGAATTTACCACCTAAGGAGTCTTTCTGCTGTGCCTTTTGCAACTGGATGTGTCTATCTTGTGTTGGCCTCTTTAGCCACCAGTGTGCTTGTAACAAATGTGGGTAGAGCCCTTCCCAAATCTTTGTTGGCGAAGCCCAGCCATGAGGAACATGTAGTGAATGCAGGTTTTAAATGTAGCTGTATTTGTTATATCCCTTACCCTTCAGCATAGTAGTTACACATATTCAACCCTATTACCCCATTTCACATCCATTCCCCCTAAATTCCAGTAGCATATTTAGTCTCCTTTTCAAGGTGGGCCTTCATTCTGTTTAAGAACATCTGCACCCTGGCCTGGACAACAAGGTATCACCCAGGACTTTGGAAAGCCTCCAAGGACTGTACGTGCTCCGAAGAAGATGAAGATGAGGAAGAGGGGGTCCCAAAACTCCCCCAGACTCAATTCCCAAGGGGCAGAACGGGGCAAAGGTTGGGGGTGAATGAACAGGGATTGGATGGACATCATTATAAAAACTGTAGCACCTGAGTCAGGGGGTGCACATGGTTTGTATTCTCAGAGCCTGAGAGGCTTCATTAAAACCTCCCCTTGTCTTACCTCCTACTTCAATTGTCCTGGAGTTTTTTCTCCCTGAATTTTTAGACAACAGTAAACATTGTTTTTCAGCAAATTTGGCATGAAATAATGACATTTTACAATTGCAGTGTGCCGGTTGCTCAGAAAAAGCACAGGTTACAGAGGAACAGCAGCAACACAATTTTCTGCTTAATCCCTTGTCAGCTCCAGTCCAGTGTGGATAGATCAGATTCAGAGGTGAAAAAGGTAATTTGTGTTCACCCTTAAGTTCAAAAGGCCACATCCTCAGCGCCTGTAAATTCATTTACTCTCAACAAACCATAATTTACATTTGCTAGGGTTCTGACACAAGCAAGTCTTTCCTAATTTCTGACCATACCTTAAGCCAATGACTAGAAGGACAATTTCCTGAACTCCACATTTCTACCAGGGTTAAAAATAAAGGTGGTAAAAAGGTAAAAAGGAGGGCCCAGCTGGTTTACGTGTCTCCACTGAAAGGATATGATGTTTTGTCATAACCTTCCTCCCCTGCAATCTGGTGAAACACCTGGGCATGTTGGCGGGATGAAGTGTCACATTCATGAAGTTCTCACGGAATTAGGCTTTCAGCGAAGATGCCAAGTGAGGAATGCCAAGAATGGTGATGGTTGTTGCTTTTTCAAGAGTTTTTTTTTAATGTTTAAAAAACCCACAGATTATGAATATTTAATTTCCTCTTCAGCCAAAATTTGTCCAGAAAATACTCCTGCATTGACTGGCCCGGCTCTGGTTCAGGAAATACTGGGGAGCACTGATACCTCCATGTATCCAGCAGTGACCCCAAATCACAGGCACCATTCAAAAACATGACCTTCATTTCACTTTTTTACATACAAAAGAACTAACCAGTGAACAGTGACTCCTCCAGTTAACTGTTTATATTGTGGATAAGTATTTTTAGGATTTTCCATGTGTCTTCAGGGTCTCTTTTGTGTCTGCTTCTAATTTCCCTCACACAATGGCTTCTCTTGTCTAATTTTACTCTGGCTTTAATTATGAAAAATAAGAATAAATAGAAGAAAAGGGATGTAGTTTTTAGACTTCCTGCAGTCTGGTATCAGAAACCACTGTTTAAAGGAAAACTTCATCTTTCCCAAAACCTTTACAAAGAAGATGTCAAAGGGTAAGGAAAGAAGCATCAACTGATTAACATAAGAAATAAGCATTTTAGGGCAAAGGAGATGCTCTCTTACTGTTCATAAAACCTTTCTAATCCACTCTGAATATCTCAGCACAAATCTCCAAATCTTTGGAGAAAAATCAAGTATCTTAATACTTCTGAGTATCAGCTCTTACTGCTTTTCATATCAAAATTCTGTATTCCTTCTGAGTCTAAAGGCAGAGTTTGTGTTTCAGCACAGGAAGTTTTGATTAATTAATATATGCATTGCACAGCAATATAGAGCCTTCTGTAATCTGTCCTAAAGCCAAGAGAAGAAGCATATTAAAAATTCCATCTTTTCCAAGAAGGAAGCTTCAAACTTAGTTTGAAATCATATCAAGGAATCTGTGCCTATCACTAAGATATGTTCTATTTGTTCTCCTTCCCACAGGCAATGATCTCAATAAGATTATTTCTGGCATTCTTCATGAGCCCTCTCTGTTACTGCTGAGTCAGGATTTCACCCCTGTCCTGCTCCATGTCTGTTCTTGTAGGGTGTTAAAACCTTTCAGGTTTTTTATCACCGTCTTCCAGTCTTCTCTAACCTTCCAATCAAAAATTTGTAGGAGAGGATGGGAAAAATCAATAAGACAACTAATTTTCACTAGTAACTATAACAATATGAGTATCCACTCACCATCTGAGAATAGAACTTTTACCACTCAGCCTCGAGCAGTTGCCCAGAGCTGTTAATGCAGCTCAGGACAGGAAGCACTTTGGGACTTTGTTGCAAGAAAGGATATTAAGCAATGCATTTAATGTAAAAAGGTAATGGAATAATATAATTCTATTTCTCAGTCATTTACAGAGATGTTAGTTCCAGCTGGAATACTCCTGCTTTCGCACCTTATTAGTTGGTAATGGCTCTTTTTGATGAGTTTTCATGAAGGGGTCCTTTCAGTCAGCCCTTTAACATACTAGTAGCTTGACGTTCAATAGCACACAAATCAAACAGCTCAGGAGGAAAAAAAAACCCACCAAAAATCCACAACACAAGCTCATCTATCTCATCTATTATTAAACAGATTGTATAAACCTGTAAACCCAAGACCATGATCTTCATGGCAACATTTCTACACTCCTGTGAAATGAAAGGAAAAAACCCACAAACCCCACAAAACTAACATGGATAACATAGGTCATTATTAGCACTGTAATTAATAGCTCAACAGGAATCTTTCTACTGATTTATTCAAGATCTGGGACAAGGCTCTACTCTGACCACAGCCTGTATCACCCCAGAAGCCTCTCTAGGCCATCTCAGACTGGAAAACATGATGAGATAGTTGGGAAGCATCCTACTCCGCGGGATGCTGGGCCATGAGCAGAATGTGAGTGTCCTTAGGGAAGCCCTGCCAGGGCAGATCAAGATGAAGGGCTTGCACGTACTCCCTTGTCTGTAGGAGGTTTGTGACAAACATCTGCAGTGCCTGTTAGAACTGGATTGGACAGGTCACCCCTGGCTGGGCTGCTCAGGAAGCTGGAGAAGTTCCTTGGCTACGGAAAGCAGGACATACCAGCTATTTTTCTTACATTTCTTGGTTTATTTTCACGGAACTTCTCTGCTAGCAGATAACATTTATTTACTTCTTGGCGAGAGGTGTCTGCTTGAACATGATATTTGGTACAGAAGACACTGAAATATGCAGTAACAGTTGGGAAATGCTAAGATGTAGACAGAAAGAAATTGGTGCTTTTAGCATTTTTAATTGCTAAAAAAAACACTAGAAAATCTTTGCCCCACTGTCACTTCAAGTGTCGACTCCAGCATTCACCTTTAAACCATTCACCTTTAAAGCACAGAGGTGCTGCAGAGGAGCACTAACACCACTCCCTGATGCCTCTAATTATGCAGAGGCTCTAATGAGGTGTGGCTGTGACAGATGACATCAGCCAAGCCAAAGTTCCTGGCTCAGTTCAGGCATTGGTGTGACAGCAAAGGGACTGTGACGGACACGGAACACAAGTGTGCCTGGAGGCTTTCCTGCCACAGGCACAATCTTTTAGTACTCAAAGGAAACACATCTTTTCTGTGCAGGTATTTTTCTCTACCTACAGTGTCATCCTCCCCCCGGGTTTCCCTACTGATGCAGCTGTTTATAAAGTACTAAGTCCCTTCTTGAACAAGATGTACTGAAAAAGTCCTTGAATCACTGAACCCAAAAGTGGTTTAAAAGGCATAAATTTCCACTCTATAGAGAGCAAATACAGACAAATATGTTTAACTCACCAAGTCAAGTTCTACGGTCTAAAAATTAACTGTCTGAATTAATAAATGTTAAAATGCCTAAATCCTCCTTTTAAGTGTTACCCTGCCAGCAGAAGTTCAAGCAGTGAGTCATCTGCTACCTTTTGTAGGTGTTGTGGAAGAGCTCATCTTTTATCACTGATCAGCCCAGAGTGAATTTAGGATACTGAATTGGGGGGTTGACTCAGGTGTGCTTTTCTTATATAGCAGAAGAGAATATGTCAAAAATACGAGTTTGTAACAATGAAATGTTAACACATCTGGGATCATATTTTAAATTTTCATATTTTAAAATTTCACATTTTAAAATTAATCAGAACTTAAAATAAAACACAGCCTTGGAAAAGCCACAGGGATTAAAAGACAGAACTGAGCAGTGAACAATGTTGTTGCATAAAAACTGCAGAGACTTCAAGGTTTCCCATCCCTCCTCCCATATTTTGCACTGGAGCAGAACAAACTCTGTTTGATTTTTTCCAAATACCTGTTTTAGAAGGCATTCTGAATTATACAATCTAGAAGGGAAAGAACGTATGAAGCTGGGACTTGAACATGAATTTACTTTATGGTAAAATCAAATCAAACCCACTGCCCCACACCCACTGAACTGTGAGAAAGCCTATCTTCATCTTTTCTACCTCCTTGGCAAAAAAAAAAAAAAAATCAATTATACATTTGGGGGACACACACACAACGACACAAAAAATAAACCTTCAAACCCCATTGCAATCTAATCAGCTTTAGACTTAGGAGGAGAAGGAAGGGCACTCTGCTGGAATCAATTCTGGTATTGGCCAAATAATTACCTGTAATATTACTGTCCAATAGCATTACGTAACCACACTGACACAATTTTACAGCATCTGATAAAAGAAACTAAGGGTTTAGTCACATGGAAACATCTGGTTACTCCCACACATCTGCTTACAGCCATGTACTGTAACCACACTAAATGCAGAGCAAATGAACAAACAGATGTGTAGGAATAAGTGTAGGATTGTAATTGTTCCTCTGCCAAAACTGCTGGAAAAGTATCAGTTAGACTTTTGGTAGGGTGGTTTTATTTTGTGTGTTTGTTTCTTTGTTTTGGGGTTGCCAAGATTTTTTTGGAAGTAAGAGCGATATCAACAATTTCATTTATATTTTTTAGCCTTTCTTTCACTCTGACACTCTAAGCCTCTCTAAGTGTACTTTCTAGAGCATGGGGCAGGAGGTTCTAAGTGACAGTCACTGTGTGCACTCCAGGGGTACAGGACCTTGACCATTCAAGATAACAGCAAAGCTTATTAACTATAATGGGATCAATACAATCGATTACTGAAACATGGCACAATCCTCTAATGTAAGAATAAAGAAGTTTGTCCTTGGAATTGGTGGTTTCTTAGGGGTGCACTTATCCCACACAAATTTCTGACTTGAGCACACCAACCTGTTGAGGTCTGATTTTTTTGAATGATACTTTTCATCTGTGCTAAAAAACAGCTTTCCAAACCTCAGCCTAGAGTTTTCCCAGAGAGTCATCGTAACACTCACAGAATCATGGAATGGTGTGGGTTGGAAGGGACCTTAAAGATCATGTTCTTCCAAGCCCCTGCCATGGGATACAAACATACCCCAACCCAGTGTGCTCTATTCCTGCTACAGAAGGATTCTGTAGTGATTCTACCAGTGATTCTCCAAGATAACATCCTATACAGCTTCTAACACAGACAAATATGCCTTCTGAGTATTGAACTGCATTTTACTTTTATGATATTTATTGAGAATTTATATCAAAGTGACAAGTGTCTTCAGTTTCTTATATATTTAAGAAAAATGTACATGGCTCAGCACCAAAGAGTCAGTCCTAATGCACTTAATGATGTGCCATGAATGATGGCACAGTCCTTCCCAAGCTCTGCTCTTGGCATCCTGATGCTTTGTTTCCTTTTTTTGAGTTAGAAAAATTTAGACATAAAATAATTAAAAGATATTGCCATCTACGTTGCTGAAACAAAACAAAACTATGTGAAACGGAAAATTATTACAAATACACTAAAAGAAGTTGTTACCTACCTCACCATTAAAGAAGCAGAAAATTGTAGCCACCAGTAGACCCTGTAAAATAAAAATAAAGGTTCCATTTTTATTACACATCCCTATGGGATATTTCAGGTGTGAGATAATTTTGGATAAAATTCAGATACCTGGTAATGCATGAGGATGTGCATCACATAGTCATACACCTCCTCGGCAATCCGGCCCTCTGGTCGCCATGGAAACAGGACAAATTCGATGCCAAGGAGTGGCACAAGAATCAGGGTGGCTCTCACTGCTTTCATGTACAGGTTGGATTCGGCCTTGTGGGTGTCTTTGAGCTTGGTGATGAGAACACGAACGATGTTTAGCAGGAAGAAAAGGTTTACCTGTCGGAAAAGGAAATGGCACTGAGGGCAGTCTGAAAAATAAGCCCACACACACTGATCTGGGAGACTAAAAACCAGACAAGAAAACTCATACTGTATGATTGTGATTGTACAAGAAACAGCAGTTAAACGTCTTTAAACCTCAGTTACCTTTTAAGTAACTGAGATGTGGCTCTGCTGGTATCCACATCCATTCCTCTAATTTACTGTGCATCCAGATACCTGCTGTCTGTCAGTCCTAACAATCCACACACCTTTCTCTCTGGTCTCACAGTACCAGTGAAGGATTAGAGTTTTTTTTTTGAATGACTGTTTCTTTTCAGGTCGGTCAAGAAAGAGGACGACGCTCTTCCCTCCTTGCATTTAAACACGGTTCTTCAAAAAGCTACTTTCTATTTTTCAAACGTGAACTTGACAAATTTATAGAGGAGAAAAAAATCAGAATGAAAAAAATAAAATAATTAAGAGACCAAATGCTGCTACAAGGAAGTGTGTATACTCCTCTAGACAAACAGTGAATTTAACATTCTCACAGTGGCCAGTGTTTGGATTTTTTTATTTATTCAGAAGAACTTGCAAATGTGGCAAGCGCTGAGATGGTGCCCTAAATATTCTCATGAGTACGTATCTTGATTATTTCCATTGCTACTAAAGCTTTTCTTGTTAGAAGTGGTGACCAAAATAATAATCCCCAACTGAAATCACAGTTGTTCAGAGTAGATCTTTCAACATGTGAGTGTTCACTGAAAGCAACCACAAAACTAATACACACACGTACCTGCGTGTGTATGTACACACACACACACACAGCCAAAGGATGTGGGTAAACAGAGCAACAGCAGCAACAAGGGATGCTGACACTCAACTTTCACCTCCTGTGCAGTGCTGGCAGCCCCTGAGAGAAGCTGCAGCTGGAAGAGACCTGGAGAGCTCAGCCCAAGGGCACCGAGACAGGACAGTGACAGTGCTGCTTCAGGGACCCACTGCGGAAGGGAGAGACACAGAACCCAGTCCTATCTCAGCTTCCAGATAACTGCCCTTGTTAACAATAGAGACAAAGGGGAGGGCGGGGGGGAAGAAGGTAGCAGACAGCCAGACAACTCCCTTCTAAAAAGCCTCGGAATTCCTGGTCTAGGAGGAGGCCTCTGTCTTGCTGTAGGACAAATGCAAGCAGGGAAGATGCCTCCACAGCCCCAGCAGAATTCTTTATGTCAGATCAGGTTTGCAGAATAAACAGCTGTGTACTGTTATAGCAACATGGCCCTTGACAGATATGGGATGTTATTTATATTATACTGCCATGCTATTTAAATCATTTTAACAGGAAATTGTTTTACATAGGAAACTACTGCATGAATTTCTCCTGGAAGCCTCCAGCTACCTTTAAGCTTTGTTTACACAACCAAGGTCTTCTGATTCTTTCTCAAGGGATTTATTTAGATTTTATGTAGCCCATCATCCCCATCCAACTTCCTATAGTACACACAGACAATAAGTCCTTCCTCCATTTCTAAATTTAATCCTTCTCAAATCTGCTTGTTCAACATCCACATGTATCAAACAGGGAGTTTTCAGCCCCCTCTAGTTTTGGTAGCACGGCCAACTCCTCTAACACTGTCTTTGAATGCTAACTGAAGATGAAAGTTGCAGCAGCCAGACATGAAACACCACTCAACAAGCTGTTTCTTTTACAACGTGGAATTTTTCTGTTTGCTTCACTTACCCACCAAACCCAAAAAGTACAAAATTAAACATGCAGAGTTTGCAAATAGCTAAGAGGGCAAACAGAAAGCTGGATGAGGCAAAGCAGAGTTGAGAGTTGTCACTCACAGGCACTGTGAGTGTCAGTAGAAGTATGCAGTATTTATGATGCTTATCTCTTCTGTCACAAAATAGAGTGAGATTGGGATGAACTGAATTCCTAATTGAAGTGATGAAAACAGGTCCTGATTTTAGCAAGGTAGTGAGTAGATTTTTACATTTAGTCAAAAGTAGGCCTGTGGAACTACTGGCAAGCATATGATCATCAAATTGACTGTGATGGTTTGGAGAAGCCCAAAGGAACCCTGTAGTGCTGGCTGCAGTGTGAACACAGAGCAGCACAGCCACAGCTCCACCGTGTCCTGAAAATTGAACTGGGCAAGTGAACAAAAAGGAGACCAAAGGTAGAGAAGTCACTCCTAGCTACAAAGAATGTTGGTCCCTATACTGGAGATTTAGTAGCATTTAGGTTCTGCCTTAAGAGTGGCTGTGAACTTAGTTGAGCTTTTAGGTGCGGCAGTTCTTCTATTTCTCTCCATGTTGAGTTTGCATTAAGCATCATGGCAATCTTTATGAGCATAGAGGTTTAAATTCTCTCTAAATTCCTCCTTAGCATGATATAAACAGACCACTCTCAGCTCAAGGCACTCAGATAGTGGCTGGTGGCCACTGCTTGGCTTCAATACAGTTCTGCAGCTTCAGATCCTGACTTGCTTGGGCACAACACATGTATGTGCTCATGAAGACATGTCTTACAGCTGGTCTGGGGACATTCCCAAGGCCAGGTATATGAGTGCTGAGCATGAAACTTCTAAATTCCTAAGCCTTGCACTGAGTCATTAAATACAAGGACATTAAAAACAAAGCTTGGACCTCCTGAACTTCCTTCTAGCACATGTTCACTCAGAACTTGCTAAAAGAACTTGCATCTCTAAAAGCCTGTCCAACTAAAACACCAATACACAACATTATTACAGGGAGAAATAAACATCCCTGTAGCATTATTTATACAAAAAATGGCATAAATAAATAAAAGACTCTTTCAGTGGCATCAGTGCAAATGAAATTGCTTGTGCATTGACACATCTGAAGTCTCTACATTGAAATCACTCCTTCTTTCACTAAAATGCAAACCCATTCCTTTTCATCCCCCCCCCTCAATTTTGGTCAGTATTTGTCTAGCATGAAAACCAACATCACCCTCTACTGTTTCATTCCCACGCTGTTTCTTTAATTGTGGTTGCTTGGGCAAAGAGTTGTAATTTAATGGTCAACTGAAGAGAATTCCAATCAAAGTGCAACCTATGTCTGCTCCCATTTCCTGTTTCTTTGGCAGGGATCTGACCACAGTTATGTAATAGCAGGGACCATAAAAGCAGCGTTGTTGTTAACTTTATGTAATTGTAGGATTTTCAGTGATGTGCAAGAGTTAAATTCCCACTGGCTTCTGCCAATTCTCCCTGGCACCCACTTGACAGTCCCCTTCATGTTCTTTGAGATCTTACTCCTGAAAATAGAAACAGTGTCTTCTGCCTTGTTATCTAATTTGCAGTTTAATATTGTTGCTTAAATGTCTAGTAAAGCAGGTCATGCTTAGTAAAGTGTGGAAATTGTATCTGGCAAGCAAGCTGCTTAAGCAAATGAGGGTTCTGTTCACAAAGCCTAAACACATGCATTTAATCTAACATCTTTTTCCCTGCATTTAATCTAACATCTTTTCCCCTGCCTTGTCTTTTCTGAATTGACATACTACATTTTTTTGTTTCCAAAAAGGAAAGCAACTCCTTTAAAGTACTTTCGCATCACAGGCAGGATGTGCAGTTGTGTTCAGTCTCTGTTACTCCTACATGATTTTCAAATAAATTTACGGATTGCACCGAGGCAAGAAAAATACAAGAGAAACACCTTTAGTCAGCTCATTAAAAATATAGGAATATCAAAGTTGTAAATTGCAAAGAGAATGGACAAAGACACTGCCCAAACCAACTCCACAGAGACAATTATTATGCCTCCAGTAAAATCAAAGGACATTCCTAGTGTTGCCTTGAACGGAAAGAAGACTTGATCATTTGGGACAGATCCAGTGCATTTGAAGCCTGTAGGATTTGAAGCCTGTAGGATTCTAAGCCTGTAGGATTCTGGCCACTTGCAGTGTGATTTTGTGGAGGCCACTGCTTGGAAGGATAAAATGATCTTTCATCTTAAAATGAGGTCACTTCATGGAAAATAGTACAGTCTTATAGCTTTTACACATTTTTTTACGTTGTTATTTAAAGCAATTCTGACTAATTATTCTGACTAATACAAATTATAGTTCAGCTTTAAAGAGCTTTACTTAAGTGGTATATCTATGAAGAGACATCTGAACAATACAAGTGACAGGCCACAAAAAAAACCCCTATACCTTTCTGTGAAAAAAAGGTTTCATCTTCTGTTGGAATAAAAAAAATTGAAAGGATTCAGAACTGGGTTCAAGTTTACAGATCAGAGTGCAGCAGATTAGTTAGTGTGCTTACATGAAGATACATGGCAGACCTGACTGGCAGGACAAGAGATTATCAGTAATAATTCACACCCCAAGGGCCAGACATCTCAATAATGTCGTGGGGACTGCCTCTGGCTTCCCATGCAGAGGGTCTCAGGTGTGCCATGGTATCATCACAGCCTTCAAAATGTAGGTTCATTAGTTAATTTTACTGTGAATGAAAGAGAGAGTCAGAAGAACCACGAGATTTACACAATGGCCTTCTGAGAGAACTCTCTCTGCACGGAATGCCCTCTACAAATATTCATTAACAATTTAACATAACAGGAAGCTCATATAAATCAGAAATTGTTTCCAAAAGTTACTTAAGGCTTTAATTCTTCATGAAATCTCCTTGAGTGAACTGAAAAGCCGTGATAAAATCAGCAGACATGTACACAGGAGTTTTGCCAGATCAGCTTGAAGTTTCTGTTACAATAAAATAAATGACTGTCACACACAGTCAGTGGCTAATTCCAGTCACATATAGAATGTCTCTATGCTGCAGCATTCCTTGCATTATGCATCCATAGGCATTAATCACATGGATAGTTGTGTAAGTACGCACCTATTTCTAAGAAGCAACAATCTACTGACTGAATTTCACAGGTTAAATCCAGTCCTAGTATAACTGAAGCACAGCATTGATTTTTATGCAGTAATGTCCTCAGTGGTAAACATTTAATAGAGTGGCATTAACTTGGAGTGTGAGACAGAGCTCTGCACTCCAAGGGTTCATGAGGGCCACAGAAGCAGAGGAGCTGCAATACCCCAGTGGCCAGAGCACACATTGCCAGATTAGTGTCAGAGCAGGGGCAGTCACAGGCACCGGCAGAACTATTTGCACTGGTTCTCTCCCAGGGACCTGTTCTAATTTCTTTCCATCTCATATTCCCACGCACAGCCAGGCCTGGCATTTAAGAGCCCTCCTCAGGGAGCTCCAATCCGGGAGCTGTTTGGCCAGAGCACAGTGACACAAAGAGTAGGCTCAGCCTGGCAATCAGTTTGGGCACAGGAAAGCATTCTCAGTTAAAGGAAGGATTTGAAAGTGCCCTCCAGTACTCCAGGTAATGTTGAGTCCTTCCTTGTCAGCAGCATTTAAGTGGAATGATAATCAATGTTGCAAAACCTCACTTTCTTTAAAGACCAGAGGTACAGCTCCTTAACAAGACTTCTTGTATCTTCTGTGTCTAAGGCACCTACTGGGTTAAATGGAAGACCCACGAAAGACAGTGGCCTCTAAATGTTGGCTTCAGGTTCTTACCAACTTCACAAGCCCATCAAGATCAGCCAGAAAACAAATAGGAAAAAACCCAAAATATCATCCAAAAAATGCTTACCAGCAGAGCAGCGCAAATAGGGCCGTGGATGATGTACAGCAGATGAGTATCAGAGCTGATCCAACAACTGGAGAAAACAAACAGGAAAAGAAAAAAAAAAGAGCTGGCATTATTATCTTTGTATTCCTTTCCTTTTTGTTTTCTCTCTTTAAAGAAAATATAAATGTTCTGCAAAGCGAGTTGAAATGCTACTTACTTGTCATTATAATATAAAGTTCTAGCAACAGCATGAATGCAGGCAGGGATCAATGGGAAACCTGCGAAGAAAAAACAATATATTCTTCATGAGAAAACCTGGCTTATAACTAAGTAAACTTGGGTATCTTGCAGGAATCTTCTGTATTTTCACCTAATCCAAACTATACACCTGCAGAGCAAATAAACTAACAGGGAGCAATTTAGTTTTTCTTTTTTCTTTCTGAGGGGTGTACAAAACCTTATTCCCATTGACTTGCCAGAAAATCTATACCAACACACAGAAAGAAAAAAACAAATCAAATTATAACTTTTTAGAATGCAACAATTGATCTTCATTAGCACAGATTCTTTTCAGGCTGCAGTCTGCAATAATGCCAAATAGGTAGGTAATATTAAAATGGTAATTGTATATATGATCACAGCTTTAACAGTATGGTTAGCAGTGTTGTTCATACCTCACTGGTGTGAGGACAAGTCATGAATATCTTGCTGGGTGTCCCGAAAAGAAATTTAAGATTAGGCTCAGGGAATCAGGCTGAATTAAAAATTTTAAAATTAGTTATCTAATAAATAAAATTGACGTCGTGGTGGTACCTGATCTTCAGAAAGTGCTGAGCACCTGTGAGCCCTCAGCCACAGCTCAGCCATGGCTGCAGCAGGACAGCAGTGACCCAGGGACCGAGTCACGTTGTAGCTGAGTGTGCCAATGCAGAGGATGAGGAGAGAGCCCTCCCCTGCACTTTGTGAATGAGCTGTTGTGCCTTGTCTAAAGTGACCAGGTCTGGCCTGTTGGTTTTGATACCGATGCCACTTGAGATCTTCGGCTCCAGCTGTTCTGTGTTTGCTCAGTGAACAATACAGGTCAAATGGAACTGCTGGAAAAATAAATCTTTGGCCATCCCTAACTCGGTTCTGACCCTCCACCCTAGACATGGTGAGACTTCTCTGAAAACAAACATTCATTCCTGAATAAACATCTTCGGGATGAGGAACAATGAATAATTACTTCTTAATGTCTTTTTTATAATAGGAGACTATTTTCTCTATACAAAGGAGGAGTCACTTCCTGACTCCAGAAATGCATAATCTCTCTTTCAAGCAAAGACAGAAGTACATACAACTTCCTACGTTAATATTTCTAAGCTTGTTAAAACACCCCAGTCAAAGAGCAGGGGTGTGGCACCGTCATTCAAAGCTTTCAGCTCAGAGGAGCAAAGGTACAGATGTTCAAAGGAGGAAGAGACTGCAGTGGCCTCAAAATAGAGAATGAGAAATCACATACCCCAGCCAAGAAGGTAATACCACATCAAGTGCTGTTTCTCAGCAAAAACAGCCACCACGATAAGAGTGTGCAGGTAAATGCCTTCACACAGCATCCAAAAGTAGTTGCAACCCATCAGGTACAGGTAGATGAACTGTGACACTTTGCAACTAATCTGTACAGGGAAAAAAAGAAAAAAAAAAAGCAGAGTATAGTATAAATTTTTAATTTTTTAAAAAATCTCAGAGCTTTATTTGCCAAGTGGAAAGAATACCAATGTTTATTCTGTTTCTCACTAAAATTACATATTTGTTTACTTTTTAAAATGTAATTTTTGTGGAATTACAATTCCATAGTTTATGATGACAGAAAACTTTATAACTGAATCTGATTTTCAGCTATTGACACAAGAGGACCTTGAGATCCTCAAGCACAGCAGAAAGCTGTAATGATATTTTTCCCTATTGCAAACCTTGCCACACTTGACCATTCCAAATCCTTAAATTATCTGACTATAACCACACAAGAAAATGTGTTTGATGTGGGTAATCCCCTCTCAGTCTTACCAATCACAACATAAAACCACTCCAGAGAACAATTTATGGTTTTAAGATGCTTACAAGACTTTAACCCACTCATAACTGTACTTTGGTCCCTTTGAGAACTGGCATTGCAGGTTCTGAAGGAACCTGGCATTTATTTGTATTTAGCTTCCTTCAAAATATATTTTACAATTTAAATGTTATAACACAATTTATTGTTAAGTCTAAAACGTGAGGTTGTGAAAAAGCAGTAACAGTTAACTTGTAGATTTGGTCACAGTACATTCTTTTTTTCCTCCTTCTGAAATTGCTGCCTGTTTGATTGTTCTATTTTTGACACTTGGATTAAAAAAAAACAAAAATCAATATTGTTATACCATTTTCTGCTACCTAACTCACTTGATGATGGTTATTAACTGCTATCTCAAGTATGTTTTCCAGCACATTGATGACAGCTTCTATAGGAGAAAGAGAAAAATCATCCTTTTACTTGATTCAGCTTCTGGAGTTTTGCCCTAACTTTCACAGAATTTACATTTATCTTCCAGCTCTAAATAAAAACAAAACCAGAGTTAGGGATTTGTTTGTTTCTGTAGTTCATCTTCAGGCTTTCCTGTTGCTATAGCTCCTAGACTTTTGGGAGAGGCTACTGATTCACACTCACCCCAGTATTATCAGGAAATGAAAGTCAGAGAAATCAGACCCAAAGGGAAGTTGTGTTTTTTTTTTTTTATTTTGCTTTTTACTTTTGGAATATAAGGGTCAACTTTAACTTGGCCACCTTCATTGAAATGAGAATTTCAATGAATTGAATTTTTTTTTTGGCAAAAGGAGGTAAAGTCATGGGAAGGCAGCTGACAGATCCAAAATACCTTACAAAGCATATTTTTACTGCCCTTCCTTGGTGAATTGAGCTGTCAGCCTCACTGACATCATCTAGAACAGGCTCCTCTCCTGCAGTTGTTTCGGTGCAAAAGCAGTTCTGTGGAGCTGGGAAGAGGAGCTCGGTTTCTCAGAGCATTGTTACTGTTTCACAACCTCGAATGTGAAGTGCCCAAATCTCTGTGAGACATCTGTTGTGCCACATCACTAAGATACAGCATTTGCACCTCATCACACGCAGCATTTCAGCAACTGCTCAGGTCTCATCTCTTCTGTGCTGCTGGAATTATTCCCGTGCAGATAAACGAGGCGCCAAATACACTTTCACTTACTGGATTCGTAGCAACCAACTCCTGGTTGTTGGCAACAGCCGTCAGTGAAATTATTGTTACAACAGAGTTGCAAACAAAGGAGAAAAACAGATTTTTGTGCAGGGTGATCCTCTGGCAACTCAAGCTCCTGGAAAAGGGAAACAAGAACAGATGAGCACAGGGGAGGACAACTGTGTGTACTTGGGGACAGCTCGGATCTTTTGAAATGCTAGAGCTCTTTATTTCACTGACAGATCTTACACCTACCCTTTCTTCAGGCCCAGACCAAATGTAATACAACGATGTGAAAGGTACCACCTTTCCTTAAACACCAACAGGAGGAAAGCAAATACATATAATTCCATTATGGAGGGCCTGCTTTATAGTGGCCAGCTAAAAACACTTTGAATACTGATAATATAACGATTTTCAGAAGATTTACATCTTTTTTTTTGTTAGTACCTGAAGAATTTCCCAATTACCTATCACACCTGAGCGTGAAGAAGCTGCCTTACCCTATGTTTCCATTTACCCAAACCTGTTAAATTTTTTGAGGATAATTCCCCTTTACTCATACTCTTGTTTTTCCTTCCCTAATCCTATAGCTGGAGAAATAGCCAAATAAGTAAAATAACCTAAATCTCATCCTGACTTTTGTGTATAACTAAATTATAGACAGTACACAGGATACAATTATAAAATCCCTATATAACTGCATTTGATTGTGTTAATTTTCAAGGTTTGCTTTTAAACTTGCAGTAAAATTAAAGCCTTTGGAAAGGCTTTTTTTTTTTAAACAGAGGTTCAATAGTATTAAACAATACTAGAAATCGAGCAGGCTTGCAGCAAATTTCTTTTTGTCTGCCACTACAGAGGAAGCAGGTCTAACTTAATGCTGTTCCAAGAGGCATGACTGCTTCTCATTCAAGGTTTTCCAATGAAATTCAGCTTTACAGGTAAACTCAAAAGAAGACAAAAATCTTTAACTTTAAATCCTCAGAATCCCCAAAAGAAGCAAGAAACATCCATTTTGTTATGAGAGCAGAGGATGGGTAAAAACGATCTCTTTAATCAGAAATACATTGACAAGGTCAGCAGGTGACAAGTCTGAACTGTCACACAAGGGGGAAAAATAAAAATCAAGTTTTCCAGCCTTTTCAAAGAGCATGTCTGGAAGAAAAGATAAAGTAGGGACATCGGTGATTCATTTGTAATTTGGGAGGGTAGGAGGGAGAAGACCTTTATGTTTTAACAGAAAAATGCAGATATGGAATAGTCACAAAGGCTGGAGGGGTATATGGAAAATTGTTAAGAATGTGATAGATGAAACAACAAAGATGACCCAAATGAAAAAAGGGACAGCCACGAAACACTGGCTCTAGAGGGGACAGCACGGTGGCTGCATCCTTTGCAACTGTCCTAGGAGGAATAATAATACATCCCATTAGGCTTTTTTAAGATTTTAGTTTAGTCTTTTGTTTTAATGCCCCCAAACACATAAACTTAGACTGCTGTAATAAGTTTTTTTAAAAAAAAAATATTATAAATATATTTAAATATTTATTAATATATATAAACATACAAATATATATTTATATTTTAAATATATAATATTTTTAAAATATTATATTATAAAAATATAATTTATAAATATACATTTTGAAAATGTATATTTATATTTTTTCTCCTGTACGGTTTATACACGAAAAGAGAGACAATGGTAGATTCCAGTGAAGGGCCTTGTGTAAACAAGTCCTGGAGAACTCTGGAATTCTGTCTGCTTATTGTTACCACTCAAGGCACAGGCAAGGAAGAGCACGTACAGCTAATGGGGCCATCTCTGGGGTCATCCAGCAGCTGTTCCTGTTGAATATTCAAACACACCCACCCACACCCACCTCCACCCAGGCATAAAAGGATTGAAAGGATCACCGGACGTGAAATAAGAAAGCAAGACTGATGACATTTAAAAACCGAGACTGCTTTTGGTAATAAAAGGATTTTTCCTAAGCCTCCCCACCCTCCCTCTTCTGTTATCCTTCCTATAGTACTTTTTCTGACTGTTTTTCTTAACGATCTAATACCCTTTAATCACTTAATTCTTGTATTTATGATCTAAGGATGTTTGAATGACCAACCCCAGGATTAAACCATGTGTAATAAAATAAAAACAGACCTCCTGCTATATTACCAATTTCTCTTCCTATTTTGAGTCCTGCATGACTTGGACATTGGGAAAAAATTAATTTCTCCAGTAATATTTCTCCAAAAGAAAAAAGGTGACATTTTCAAAAGCCCCTAAATGGGTTTGAGATCTAAGTTTTTCAAGTATTCCAGTACTGTAAAATTCAACCAGTGAGATCCACATGTGCACTGAAGGGGAATTATCCATTCAGGTGAAACTAAAATGATTTAGGAACCTCCTGTCTCCCTAGCAATCTATCAATCAGTGGTTTGCCCACTCTTTCTTTAAGCACAGTGTTGTTATCCTCTGTCATGGGATCTGACATGACACTTGGGGCTTTTTTGTTTGGGTTGGTGTGAGGGCACCTTTCAAATTGTAGTTCCCTTTTCTCTTAAATCACTGCTTTTTAAAGTCTTCTCTTGCCTTGTTTCTCTTTCTTTATGAAAACCACACAACTATTTGAACAGAAGGTTTTTAACAAGCACACGTATGATCTAAAGTATGTAACAGAAAAAGAGAGCAGAGACACTGCAAGAAGTTATTTTTATGTCTCACTGGTGAATTCTCAGAGAAGAAGATCAGAGTTCCAAGTTAATGGTCCATTGGATGCCATTAAACCAAGAACTCCAATGCACTTGGACAACACAGACTGGACAAGGATTTCCAATGAGACAATTTTCTGAAGAAAAAAAACCCCCAAAATTTCAAATGCAAACAGAAAATACAGAAAAATTTTAATCCTAAAGAAGATAAAACACAAATAGTTGTTATTTGGAAAAAAGGGTCTTTTTTCTCATGGAGAAAAGTGCCAAATATTTAGTCAAGCCTCAAGATATTGTCATGATCATCAATCCAGCAAAGGTTGTCTGGAAACTGTTGGTCAACTAACAGAATAAATTTTTTGGAAATGACAAATCCAAAAGCACCCTCCACAATAGCAAAAAAAAAAAAAAGCCCACCTGTTAAAGCTATGAATAATTACACAGGTTTTAGCTGATACATAATACATCCTGATATTAATCTAGGTCCTTAAATACCCTCCTGGTACTAAAAATACTTCAGAGGAACTGTACATCCCAAGAGAACAGCTTGCAGAGGACTTTTCTTTAGCTGCCTTTAAATTTTGTAATTTCCTTTTATATCCCAACACAACCACAGCAAAGAAGATGTGGTTTGTGGGTCTGGATTAATTCCACGTGGTTCTCTAAGGAAAGATGATCCTTCTGCCAGAGGGAGGAAGAAAAATCCCTGGATGGTTAGACAAACCTGACATAGTATGTCAGATCACCTGCTTTTGCAGTAAGTGCCACAAGGCAAGATGAAATTACCTTGGTTTTCATATTATAGTCTAGAATAATCATGCTTGACTGCCTCTGAGATTATAAAATTATATCCTATCCCAAATTTTTTTGTTCTCCGCTAAGAAATCTGTCACAGCGTTTTCCCTGTCACGTTGGATATTTAATCTGCTGAACTTTGTGTGACATTTATTGCAACAGCATAGACCTTTTTTATGCAAAATCAAACTTCTTATAAGGACCCAGAGCCATTTCATGTGTTGATGTTTTGGAAGGAAAGCGAACTTGGAAATGGTAGGCGTTGTTCTAAGGGGTCACATGCAAATAAATTTATTAAAAGCCGAATATTCGGGTTTGCCTCATGAAAGGAGACCAGAAAAAGCTGAAAAGTCATCTTGAATACTGGATTTCATAAAGGGAGGCTACAAAGACCCTGAGATTAGCTCAGTTGGTTACTAATTACACCAAAGTTGTGGGTTTGATCCCCATACGGGCCATTCACTTAAGAGCTGGACTCGACAATCCCTGTGGGTCCCTTCCAACCCAGAATATTCCGTGATTCTGTGAAGCTGAAGCATTCTATTTCTTGGGGGATTTGTGGGAACGTTGTGGAAACCTGCAGAAATAATGCATGGCTAAACTGGAAACACTATTTTCCCACCAGATGTGATTAAGACTGATAATTGCTTTTATCAGATACCACCTGATCAGAGCCCACAGCACAGTGTGTGTGCTATTTATATTGAAATATTAGGAAGAAATTAAAGATGGAGTGAGGCAGCAGGGCACAGAGGTAAGAAATAGGCAAGGCTGAAGAGCAGATGTGTGTTATCCAGTGAGAAATAAAGGAGAAATTATTAAACTGGAGCCAGTTAACAAGGGGAGCCCACACTGTGCCCTGCAGCAGCAGGCAGAGGGAACAGCTTGTCTCTCCCAGCTCTGCTCATGTGGTTTCACCTTTCTGCTAAGTCTCTTGAAAGGCTCTTAAAGAAAAAAACAAAGAAAAGGAGTCTTTCACGGGGAAGAAAAGTAAGTTCGCAAAATATGATGTAATAACACTAATTTTAAAAGACATTATATTGTGAGCTGTTGTGACAGTGGTGATACACTACTCAAAGTTTCTTTCAAGGAGGTAACATAATAACTGTTAGTGGATGACATGTCTGTCATACACATAATGCAGTGAATAAAAAAAGGGATTACATTTGTTATTCCCATTTCTACTGTAGCTCTTAGCCTTACTTTCTTTACAGTTTGTCATATTTGTGAGTACCCACTTTAGAATGTTACTGTATGTATCACATGTCATCAGTATTTTGGTTTCCCCCTGCTCTTTAGTTTGGCAGATGCTTGGCATAACAGAGAATCATAGAAAATCCTGAGTTGGAACGGACCCACAAGGACCATCGAGCCCAATTCCTAAAATCCACACTGTGATTTTATCACTAAAATAATCCAAACATCACAGACCCCAAAAACAAACATACATTTTCCCATTTCCTATTTTCAATATATTCTACAGCTTTTGGTTCACAGGTTTTTAATTTTAGGTCTCTGAGCAAATAAACATACACCTTTATTACAGCATAACGTTCAATGCCAAATCAATGCAGTGGCTTTCTTCACCTCCTTGCTCAACCTAATTTCATTTGGATGGCTGGTGGCTCAAAGCATTGAAAGCAGGGTTGTGGCAACCACTGATATTTGACAAAGGATCTTAAATATACTTACTTAAAATAAAAGAATATGCCCAGAGAAATCAAAAGTGATGCAATGGAGAGCCCGTGTCCAATGATGGCCAAGTAATACAAGTTCAGAGCCGTCTGCAACACAAGAACAAAGCCAAGGACTTGTGATTCATGCAGAGCTATTCTGGATGAAGCACATATTTATACATCACTCCTGCACATAAAATGACTGTAACAGCATAAAGAAAAGAAAAACGTTTCAGATAATGATAAGACAAGTCCAGAACCCTGCAAAACAACATCTTACTAAACCCCCTCTCTGTAGGAAACACAACAGGTTAATGGGAATCATCACTGGAATGTACCTTTTACCAGTTAAAACACCAGGTTTCTAATATATCCTGCTATGGGGTTTTATGAGTGTTTATATAAATCTGGCTATTTAAGCTACTGCACTGGGTGCCTTCCTGTCTGAGGTTTGATTCTTTTAGTAAGACAGCTCCTAAGTAAAACGTGCCCCCCAAAGGAATTTACATTTTTTTTTCCCTCACAGGAGGTTTTTTCCTTATCATTTAAAGATACTTTCTTTAAAGAAAGTCGTGATTATGATATTGGAAGTTCAGTTCTTATTCAGCTTGAAAAAATTAACAACTCAAAACCAGTGAAGACTGAACAGACTCCTCAAATAAGCCTACAGCCAAATTATAGAATTATGAAAATCTGGCCAGATAAAAAAAGATTAAAAAGGAACTGGTAAGTTAATATTTGCAATAAGTTCATGTTATCATTAATTCTTTTAGTTAATAAATAAATTAAATAATAATTAATAAATTATAATAAAAAGTAACAAACCTCTGCTTTCAGTTATGGAATCTGTCTCACAAAATCTCTCTTGTTGCATTAAATGTAAGATTATCATTTGGCACACCAGGAAATGAAGATTTATAGGTTAAGCTTTATACTCTCACAATAAAGCATAACTGTCTGGATTCTGTAGGGAGAATTAGAGTATGCATACAAATGCTCACATGCTGCAAACTCCTTGTATCCCTTGAACTTATTATTTCAACTCAAGACAGACTAACAGCTTGTTATATATATTGACTTCTGAAATAATATAAAAAGATTCCAGGTGAAGCTTTAAGTAGATGACAACCTGTATACACGACAACCATGTATACATGCTACAAATTTTCAAATTGTCATTACTTCTAAAAATGAGATAACTTCTTTTAAAAAAAACAAAAAACAAAAAACAAAAAACCCCCAATGCAACAGGTACAATTGAAACTTCCATAAAAATTTGGAAGAGAGAAAAAACAAGGGTTACCCTGACATGCTAAAATTTGGGCTGCATAAATGACAGCAGCCCTTTTATGACAGGTTCCTACCCCTTGTCACCACTTCATTGAGTGAGCAACTTAGCCAAACGTGCAGGTTAAGGATTTAGGAGAGTTCTGCACAATTTAGAGCTGTGGTACAGCAGGGACTGCTGCTGAGGGCAGTAACAATAAGAGTGGAACAATGTCCAGCAGTCAGATTTATTGTGCAGTATCTCCCCCGCCTTCTGAGCAGAGAGAAGAGAGAATGCTGCTTAATATAACAACACACTGAACTGCAGCAAGCAGTGAGGTTTTGTTCAGAGCTATTATTCCACTTTAACAATAGCTTCTGATGTGGGACAGAGCTGGAATATGCAGGCAAAACAGCCTGAGGGAAAATACCTCATTATTCATAAAGAAGGACCTGCTCCTGTCTGAATAAAATCCTCAGTTCCCAGCTAAATGTTAGGAAGAATCAGTGAATATAGCAATTCTGCTAACAGAATTAAACTGCCCTAAGTGAACTCAAGGTCTCATGATTTGAGGAAAAGCAATAAAAAAGTGTCTTATTATCATCTGTTACCACCTCTTGCTCAATATGGTTTCTAGGTAAATACCCTAAAGTATTCAACAACAATGATGTAGGAAGTTAGAATCTCTATTACATGTCAGATTTCTTGATACAATCTGCTGCTATTCAGCCATTTTCCATGAGGTCCAAATTAATTTACAGCCTACCCCAATATGCATTTTATATTCCTAGTTCTTGGGCATTTACAGTTTCAATTTACTGCTTCTTCCCATGACTGAATGTTTCATAAACATAAAGAATATTAGTGGAAATACACTTGGGGGGAGGCAAAATATGCAATTTCGCCCATTGTATCCTCATATATCACAAAGTAGTTAAAAAAGAGATCATTTGGAGACAGATTTTTTCTTTTTCTACATTATCTTGAAGATAAGCTGAAGTATACAAAAATAACACCTGTATATATTCCCACATATGTGTGTGTGTGCATAGAGTCTATCTTTGATTTATAGAAAACAACTCGAAGCATTTTGCTGCCTGACCTTTTTTGCTGCCTGACAACTTTGGATGCTTGCAAAATTTCAGGTAAATAAATTCAAAGTATAAGCTCTTTTTATAAATGCATATAAAATATAAATATAAATATAAAATATAAAAGAGCATAAATAAACTCTTCTATTCAGGTGAGTAGCTTAATATCTCAGAAATCAAAAAAGGCATTTGGGAGTCAGGCCACAAAGGAAAAGGAGCACAGGGTAAGAGAGGCCCTATCTAACAGTTCTCATAATTTAGTTCCCTTTGGCCTCCAAAGATCCTGTGGTGAATCTACTCAATTACAGCTTGTCCACACTTCTGTAAAAATAAATTAGGTCTGCTTTTCACACTGGGAAAAAAACCCTAAACCTCAAACATCTGAACTCTGCTGAAAGCTGCCTTGAAGATGTATTAATTAATCCCAAGTAAAAACTCTGGCTGTGCACCTGCTGAAAATCTGTCCCTTAATTCACTGCATAAACCCACCTTCTCAGCACGGAGATGGACAAACCTCCTGCAGTTCTGCTCAACTTGGACCCTACTCGGAAATTCCAGAGCAAAACATAAAGGTCTGCTCTTGCAAGACACACACTTCACTTACCAGTACATGACTGTGGATGGCCCAGATGAGTACTAGAACCTACACATTTAAAATACCCATGAACAAATAATATTACCATATTATTTAAGCAGTTGAAATCAGCTGTATAAGACAAAGCAGGGAGACTGGGGTTTTTTCGAGTCTGTTTTGCACAATTCAGCCTTTTTGTTCAACATCCTTTCTTTTTTTTTGTAATCTGCAGCTGCATCAACTCTGCTGCCATTTGAGTTTTGACACTTGTGAAATTTTTTCTTGACACTGGCAACATGCATTTTATTCCTTTCCTACCTTCACTTTTTCATGTGTGTAGCTGTTACACTGAGTATAGTTTGTCCACGTCCTGTTGCTTTCGGGGTGTCTAAACCAGTTCCCATTTGGGTCACAGATCTTCGTAACTTTTTCTGCAATCAAAGTTGAGGGAACGAAAAACAAAAGAAGAAAAATGAAAGAAAAATGCAATAGTCAGCACTGAAGTTCTATTTCCTGATGCCAAGTATTTAATAAAGATTGGCAAACAAATGACAGCTTTATTAATATGACTAGAGAGACTTTGCTTGTTACTATGAATTCTGAGAAACTAGAGGCTGTTGCTTTTGCTTGGCAAGAGCAAATGATGATGTGATTTTCCTTAAGAAAACAAATAGATTTTCCTCCTCCAATCCAGTAAGTATCAAAATATATTGAACTAACTGTTAGAGAACTACCAGATGAAGTGATAAGAGTATTTAAATGGCTTGTTCAACATCCAAGATCTAAACTGAAGTTTGACATCCTACCACTGTAAATTAGGATTGGACAGAGAGGAAAGCAGCAATAGGAAAACTGCTCAAGAACCAAACTGGAAATTTTCTGGAACCACAATAATTTCTATCATCGAATAGAAAGAGGCATGAAAGGACCCTGGGAAATACAAAATGGGCAGAAAGGGACATGACTATAAATCTATGACATTTTTCACATGCTCACAAAATTTAGCCCACAGAAACAGGAAATGATTCAAAGTGGGAGAAACTCTTTGTCGACTTCAACTGCTAAATTGAGATAAAAGAGTAAGTCCTATTTCTGCTTGTCTGTCAGAGAGAAAACATTTTCTGAGGGAAAAGCTCATCTCTAAGAGGAAAAAAGTATGATCTCACTTCAGTTCCTACTCCCTAATCTACAGAATTCCTCAAGGACATAGGTCAGAAAAGAAAATAAGTGCTTGTAATTTTTCTATGCGATAAAAGGAAAATGCAAATATGGGTCTTATGTTTCTGAAATTCTGGAGCATTAATGACTTGAGTGGGGCAAACAAGAGACATCAAGCACCCAAACCCTCACTTCATTGAGAAATAAGTTGATGTAGAAGTCAATGCACACTTACCTGATGGGTTGAAATCCTGAAAGTAGTCGGGACAGCGCTGCACTGACACAGTTCCAGCAGCAACATCACTCCAGCACAACCAGCCATCCCATGTCCTGTTACAGTAGGGACCTGCAAACAAGTAGAGACCTGGTAACAAAATAACAACCCTTCTTTCACAATAGTCTTCCAAAAGCAGAGATGTAAGACTGGATAATGCAAGTTTGCAGCAGTGAGAAAAAAACAAAAAAAGGAAACAGAAAAATAAGATTTAGCGGCAGTTGATTAAAACTCCACTTAATAGAGGTAGTTTCCTTATACATACATTTCCTAAAAAATGTTTTAAAATTCAATCTCATTCTACATCTGCAATTTACAAATGCAATGGGCAAAAAACCCTATATCAATTCACAGTCGACAATGTCCCTCAGCAAAGAGTCTTATGCTTTCAAAGACCATTTTACTGAATTGCTTTATATTTGGATGTCTACCAAGCCTATAAATATGTTTTCTAGTCCATTGAAAATGCAGAGATGTCCCAGAAGCCAGGAGAAAGCCTGGCTGGGAGGCAGGCACAGCTCCTCTGTCTCAGGCTGGGCTGAGGCTGCAGTGATCCCTGGATGGACACTCCTGTAAGTGCTCCAGGAACAGAGAATCCAGAGTGTCCCTCAAGAGCCCGTTCCGGTGCCTCATTGCGCTCACACAAATTTCAACATCTAAAATAAACTTCCCTTGAGAACGGGCTGGGGTTTTATAAACAAATCCTTTCCCAAAAGGCACACAGAATAGTGACTGACCATCTCTACAAATCTGAAGATGTTTTCAGTGCCTTGCTTCGGTTTTCTTGTAAAGGCTTAATAACGTCCTCATTTCAAAGGCTGCAGTTTTCAAACATCTCGGAATTCCTCCTCATCTGAGGATTTTCCAGTTTGTTCCAGACCCTTCTGAAGAGGCCCCAAGCTGGACATAAACTTACACTGTCACACATACACTTGTATTCATTTTGGACCTCCAGGCATTCAGTTCCTCCAAAGAATCGTTTCAGAAGAGGAAAATCTCTTTGTAAAAGAACATAATTACCCTTTTCTTGCCTCAAAAGCCATTCAGTGTTTCCAGGAGTTATCAAGTGAGAACCAGTGAATACAGTGAGAGGCAGAATCACTGAGGTCAGCTCTGAGTGAGTTATCAGAAAAAGCAATAACACTAACACAGCCCTTAGAGCAGGGAAACTGTGTGGATCAAGACACTTCCAATTTTTAAAGGCACATATGACCAGGCAGACAGGGGTATCACAAAATCATGAAATGAAATAAAGTGGCAAGATTAATTAGTCAATTTTCTCTTTTTTTTTTAGCATGAATATCTATTTAAATTAACTTTTTCTCAACAGAAATAACAGCTTTGTGTTATATAAGAAGTGGTGTTATGGGCAGGTAATGTAACATATTGTTTTATCCTTGTGCATCCCAAAGTGATATTTCTAAAACATGACACAAATTTTTTTATACAATTTTTTATACAAATACAACTTATTTATTTTCAAATACAACCTGAAAAATACTTGCCAGAAGACAGAAATTTAATATAACTAAGGGATCCTGAATTAGTGTAATTATACCTGTTGACCATTTGCCTCAGTAAAATCCCATAAAAAATTATTTCTACCTTCTTTCCTGTGAATAGGATCCTGCATAATTTTCTGGTAGCATTCATACTGTGCTGTCATGATTTTATTCCGTGTGACACTCAGTTGCGAGGAGTCCTCTGTGATGTTCTGATGCCCCTCAGATGGTACAGCAGTGGCCAAAAACTAAGAGGAAAAAGACTTCTTTTAGCAAATCACTTATAAGCTCCAGCACAAACTTCTTCGACATCAATCTTTTTAAATATTGTATTTTAAAATATTATTTTACTGAAGAAAAGCGATCTTCCAAGCTTATTCCTGACAGTGTGATTTTTGTGTTTTGCTGGTTAATTCAGCAATTCTTACCACTGAATCTTGACAAATGTGTCCTGAGCGAGCACAGGGGAGTAACAATTGTAAATAATAACGGCAGCACTGAGACAGCCAGAGGCATAGAAGCATATTTTTGTAAAATCCAGTGAAATATATCAAAGTTTAGTCTAAAAGGTATTTCAGTCAGGCCCAAAATGATCCCTTATGAAAAAAAAGACTTTCCATACACTTTATGCACCAAAGCACTTGGCTTGTCCAGAGCTATTTGGTTTCTCTAGTCTGGTGAACCATGAAGTCAACCCTCAGAATACAAAAAGATATTTGAAAGACTCGACATACACTTTTATAGATACTAAAATTAAAAAAATCTTAGGTTTCTTGATCATAATCTGTACCTTTCAAGTGCATTTTTAATAGTAATTACATGTTTTATGGGAAGCCACTAAACTTCATGGGAAAACAAAGCTGAAGGTTGAAATGTTGTACCACTGTCACACAAGGGATGAACTTAAAAAGTCCTGAGGATGTCCTCTGAATCTCAGATGTCTCCTCCACTCTTCCTGGGGTCTGCAGAGTATTGCTTATGTGTCACTTATCAACTATTACTGTTCTCAGCCAGCAAAGGGTTCAGCAGAGGAAAACACTATTTCTGCTCCTTTACTCCAGGAATTTAAAGGGGAACAGAAGGTAGGTGAAGATCCTGCTGTGCAGAAACTACGTCTGAACACAAGATTAGTTATTTCTGCATTTCCTTATTAATAATTTCTGTGGCATTCTCTATATGCTAGTTAAAACTGCAAGTGATTTAAAAAATTCATAAGACTCACCATAGTAACCGACAAGAAGAGCAAAAACATGATCCAGTTTTTTGTCATTTCTGGGGCCGGCGCGGTGAATTTTATGTCACAGTTGAAGGAACTCAAACTGCAATGGGGAAAAAAAAATTAGGAAGAAATTTAGCAATTAAAATGAAAGCCAAAAGGGATAAAAGACTTATTTTATTTCTGAATTAAAACGAGTCGATGGAGGTCTTCTCGATTTTTCCTCACACATAGTGATGCCATGTGATGTCCATGGTGACAGTTCACCAGCAGTGAACTCCAGCAGAAGGTTTCCTCCTGCCCTGGTGCCTCCAGTGCCTCAGCAAACACCTTCCAAGGTTTTGCCTCAGCCAGGTACCTGGTACCAAATCTAAGAGCAATCAGCCCTGAGATACAAGTGGACTCCTTGACACCTCTGCCTTTGGGCCACCAGTTTCCTTACAGTAGACTCAGATCTTCACAAACACACACACACACAGTTATTTTGTATTTTCTTCATACCAGCTGATATTTAATTTTGCCATCTCTGGAATAACTGATCTAGTAAGTAGCCACTTTATCCCGAAGTTACAACTTTGCAAGGATGACAACAATGCTGCAAGAATTAACTGTGAGCTGTGAAATAGTTTCTGTACTTGCAGTAGCTCTAAAGTAGTTTCTTTATCTGTCATTTGAAGAAAATATAACTACCCAAACCAGCTAGGATCGCCTTACAGTGCAGACTATTCTTGGAATTGATTCTTGAAGTGGGAAATGCACCTAATGCATAAAATATACAAAATTATTTATTAAATATGTAGCCCATCTATCCAGGGTAAACCTGCTGTGACAACTGCCTCAAAAGGAAGGGAAGTTTCTAAGAGATTTGTCGTGCAATATTTCACTGTATCCTGAAGCATCCTGAGAAGATCACAGAGCTGGGCCTGGAACTGTGGTAAGAGCTTTTCTTCTGCTTGCATCGTGGAAAAAGGCCTTTCGGTATTTAATTTATTACAACTAAACCACATTTAAAAAATGTAAGTATCTCACTGTACTACCATCAATGAAGCTATTTTCAGCTGAAATAAATAAAGATGATAACAGATTTGTGAGTGTAGCTCCCTTGTACAGATTAATTCAGTGTGAATTAAGACCCAAATCTCACACACTCCAGAAGTCCCTCATCCAGCCAGCTCAAAGATCCCACTGAATAAGGAGGATTGTTGGGTGCTGAGTACACAGAAACCTGCATCCTGACCTCAGATCACACTTGCTGTTGTCTTTGGAAGTTTTTCTTATCCAGCAGTCCCGTCCTATGAGGGACTGGAGGATGACAAACAACTGGCAGTACATTGGCATGTAGAGGTAATTGTACAAAAAGCTCATTCTTTTTAAAATCCCCCCTGTCTTAGTCACAAAAAGCAACTATTCTGTATCTACTTTTCTGCTTTTACACTGAAACTGAGTCCTCTTAATACACTGATAATACAATCAACAGCATTTTGTAGGATGTGCTAACTACAAAATATGAGATCACTGCTGTTCACTGCGCAGCCTGATGCAGATACAAGAAATGTGTTGTAAAATCAGTTACTTTTGTGCCTGTTTCACCCAGACTAAAACTGTATCCATAATCTTCCTTCTCTTTTTACCAGTGGCATACAATCCTGTAGCACTGACTGCTGCAAATTGCACAGGTAATTCCATGAGACACTGCAATCCAAATACAATGTTCTGAAGGCTCTTAAAACACTTACAGAAAGACCAGTTAGCATCCCTGAAATATATTAGTTGGAGCAAATACTACTCTGGAAAATCCACATGTGGTGAGAACTAAAGTAAATGGATAATTGTAAGGACCATGATCTGTTCACTAAAGAAAAGTCTAAATATCTACATGTAGTGATTAAAGGTTGCCTAAAACCATATATCTACAAATATCTAAATTAGATATCTAAGTTAGCAAAAGGGCAATAGGATTTCAACTCTGCATGACAACTGGGGGTAAGGATGATTAATTCAAACCTCTAACAAGTTTCATTCATTTACAGGTGTGTCTGTTTTCCCAGGAGAGGGGAAAAAACTGAGCTTCTAAGGAAACTGGAATTAATAACTTGACTGTTTAGTAAGTCAATAATCTTTTCTTTCCAAAGTATGACAAAGCACATCTATGCAGAGTTAAAATCCACAAATGATGTGCACAGGACAAGCCAAGAGATCAATCAAGTAGAAAACAGCAACCACAATTTGGGTATGTTTTCCCATACACATATACAAGAGTTCAAAATAATTTTCTCCACAAGAGCTCAAAAAAAAAATCCTTATGCTAAAACTAATGTTGGATGGAAAATTTAAAATGCATATTCATATACTGCCCTCGCTTAGCCTTGCTTATCTGGGCTTTTTAATTTATTTTAAAAGATACAATTTATCTAAAAGATACAATATCATATAAACAAAGGCAGAAATGATCTGCTTTGATTCACAGTCCAAGTTTATTTCTGTTTCACAATATCAAAAGTCATCCCTTAGCTCAGTTCCTTTAATGGTCCAAATCTTCTAATACCTAGTGATTTTGTAAACATTTCCTATCAACTGTTCCAGTATCCACTGTTAAACTATTGAGTCTTCCCACAAGATAAAATGTTAAGTCAAGCCTATAATTCACTCTGTGCTTTCAACTCATTTCTCTCAAGTTGCAAACTTCAAAAAACGCACATAGAGAAAAAAAAATCCTTTTCCTAAACATCCCTACTTGTGGACCAAAGCACGGAATGCAGGATGAAGGTCATTTAGATGCCTATTTGGACTCCAGGAAAGCATTTCTCGCATCACTACATGAATTCATTCACTCAGTGTTTATTACAGTTAATCTAGAGAAGAAATTTCCAAAGGACGAGTAGGACCTTTCTTGGGGATGGGCAGCAAAATACAGCCCATGGGCTGAGGCAGCAAGCCAGTGCTGCTGAGAAAGTCAGGCTTCTTCTCTTAATCATCTGCTCTGATGAGACACAAACCAAATATAGTTCTCAGAAAGTTCTTTCCCCCCCAAAGCTGTGAGGTATTAAGCACACGAGGAAAAGAAATTAATAGTAAAAAGAGACCAGTTTTGCTGCTACTGTAAGTCTGACAGTTTTACTGTGGGGAAGAGTCTCTGTTGGACTGAGATTAATCTATCTTGAATGTTAGCTGGAGGGAAAAGATGATGGAAGCTTAGACAGAATCCCTTGACCCTACTCTGTGACAATGGGGACCTGCACAAAATCCAGCAGGACCTTGATCTGTTCACTAAAGAAAAGTCTAAACGTCTATGTGTAGTGATTAAAGGTTGCCTAAAACCAAATATCTACATTAGATATCTAAGTTAGCAAAAGGGCAACAGGATTTCAACTCTGCATGACAACTGGGGGTAAGGATGATTAATTCAAACCTCTAACAACCTCAACATGATAGGTTTGGAATGGAACTGTAAGTGGTGTAAACCCAACACCACAGCTACCAGCACTGTTCTGGCTTTATTTTCCCTGTAAAAGGGATCATCAGAGGGAAGAGAATGAGGAATTGCAATAGCAAGTCAGATCTCCAAAATGTCATTTTTATTTGCATTGAAGACAGTGAAGTCTGGGGTAACTAAAAAAAAAAAGAAAAAAAAGGGAACTTCCTGATTTTCCTCTTTATTACGTTCTCTGTTACCCACATTAATGATGCTCCTGAGGCCAATACTGTGTTTGTCACTGATGGCAGTGACATCTACTGAAGAAGGAGGAACTCAAAAGGAACTGCAAGCTGAACTTAGCCAAAATAGCCACTGGTATGGCTTTAACAGATGTTCACATTTCTCTTCCTTCTGCTTTCTCTACAGAGCCATCCTGCTTAATCAGCTGTTTCTACTTTTAACCTTTCCCCATCCTCCCAAGAATAAATGGCATCCTTGCTGAGCTCCAGACACTTCCCATTTCAATGACACAGTAAAAGGGTTAAAAAAAGTAATCAGCAAGAAAAAATCTTTTTTTTTTTTAACTTGAAACCCACATTTAGTACAAAATCAAAACCGCAGACAGCTTCTACCTTAGCAGCTGCCCTCGAGTCTGCCTTCAAGTCAGAATGTAACTCTGTGGGAGTGGGATAGGAGGGAGACCCTACTTATGTCTTTGCAGGTACATTCATACACATTTTTCACTAATTGGTAATCTTTGGTTTGCCCAGGAAAAAGAAACCAAACACACAAACCAACCCCAACAACAAAGCCACAAAACATTATCAGTATAAATGACACACCTTGCAGTGTGCTTGTAACATTGAAGTTAAACAGGTGTGGATATAGATGTATATCCTTCCACTGTGAATGAAAATGGGGTCAGAACAGGTATGTTCTAGACCACCTCTCCCCCCTTTTTGTTGTTCTATCAGTCCCTGATTTTGTTTTGTTGCAATATCTCTCAGAAAGAGCTGTATATGCTACCTGGTTACTTCTGGTTCTTTTTAGAGAGGAGCATACAACTCAAAGTATTTAAAATCCCAAGCAATGTTTGGTTGTTTCTGCCCAAGGTACAGGCAAAAGCAACGAGCTGGAAAATGCCCTACACTTTTCCCTAATTTGAACTGCTGTAGTACAGTGTTATAAAAAACAATCCCAAAACCAGTAGCCTCAAATGGAATTACATCTCCACTCACATAAACTGCCTGGGAAATACTCTTCTGACTAAAAGGCTCAGCAAGTGGGCAGTATCAGCCCAACATTAATGCATACCAGATCCAGTGATTCCCTAAAAGTGGACTACAGAATCTCCACACTTATCTTAGGGAACAACACAGGGCAGTTTGGAAATCTTCCTATTTGGGTAAAATGCCTTTAGTTCTGAGGGAATCAATTCTGTCAATATTTATCAAACTGCTCTAATGGTATTCCATAACAGCTCACAGCTGTATGTGTGGGAATTACTCCATCCTTCTCATAGTTACGGAGTGAAGAAAATAATAGTTATGGAACGAATTTAATGAACTCTGCATAGCACAGTTTCATGGCACTGGAATTCCCTGCTGGCTGCCACTTTGAATTAAGGCCCAGGCATCAGCAGTTACAGACTCCCAAAACAGGTGAAACAGATCAAAAAAGTGT